AGACTCGGAGCTAAAGCACCCAGTCCCTGCGATCGCCGGCCCACCCACCCTTGTCATCTTGGAGCCGTTCTATTCTCATATTGGACTTTGGATGTTGCGCCGTTGGCTTGGGATGGAGAAATTGGAGCATCATGCTTTCTAACCTCGAGTCTGGGAAGCGGACGGACATGCACACGCTTGCCTCCGTACTCACGCACTCAAAAGACAACCATTCAGCGTCGGCTCTTGATGGGTCCTCGCGACTGCAAGCCACCGGCAATGAAATCCCATTCCTCCTCCTGAGTTCCAGCGTATGAGAGCCGGTCTCGACGTCTTCTTGATGATCCACACTGAGTGGTGGAATCATGACCCACGGGGGAAAGTGAGGCACATGGGCGCACGCGACCCATCGGTGCGGATCTCATGTGCTTATCATCCTGGTCTGCCAGTCAGTCCATTGTGCTCGCTAGTCACCGAGTCTACTCACATCAGTCGCTATGGCCAACTCTCGACCTTGATCTTGCATCAAGAAGACTTTATTCAACGAATGGTCACACATTTCAGCCACAACTGCAGTGCGTATCCTCAAACCGGGCTCCTTGATCCGTTGAGCGGGCCGTGATCCAACGCCACTGTACAGTCTCCCAATAGGCTTGGGGTGAAGATTTACGGTCGGTGTGAGAACCTCGCCTGTGATCTCTCACCAGGGTCACGGATCCGAAAGCCGCTGTCCATGCTGCGCCGCTGGTGAGTACTCTAGAGTCTAGCGCACCGCCCGATCGGCCGGGTCGACCGCGTGAGCGGCCTCGAATGTGTTCCGCGATCCACATTGATTAATATGTCAACATATTCGCTATTCGGGGAAGCCTAGTGGACAGTTTGTCTCGCGCTCATCTGACAGGAAGAACACCAGGATCTTCAAAGCTGAGATAGCCCAAGGTACCTCGACAACATGCGAGCGTGTGGATGGCCAAGACCGTACCCATATCAATGTATTTTAAAGCAGTAAACATGGTGGGGTCGATAAGAGCCAGCTACCTCAAAATGGTAGATGGATCATTGATAGCAACTCGCAGTCTTCAGCCGATGGTATTGCATCTCCATCTTGCCGGCAACACAAGCGGGATCTCAGAGAGCGCTGCGTAGATCCTCACGGACAGGAGATGCCATGGGTCACACAGGCAGGATGCGTGATTAATCACTGATCTCGCTGATCCTTCAAGGGCACTCGCAAGCAAGTTGAGACTGAATCAAGTGCGAGTTGGGTTGCAAGTTTGCGACTCGCCTTAAGACGTTTTGCCTTGGTCATGACCAGCAGCTGTAAATACACCTTTTCAAGTTGAGATTCATGCCAAGTAGACGAGCACCTAGGATGGAAAGTTGCCGCTGCAAGATCCGCACCGACAATCCGACGCATCTCGGCGCCTCTGGGGTAGTGAAATGCCGGGACGGGGCACAGCACCTATGAACAGACAGAGACTGAGAATCAAAGGCAGCCCAAATAGCCGAAGAGGAGACCAACAGTGGAGAGAGTCCTGTTTGAGGTGCTGAGTCCTCACGCCTGGTTATACCGAGTTTGTTCACTATGAACGAAAATGTGAAGACACAGCTCCAGCATTGACTCTCCCATAAGCGGAAGAAGACACGATGCAGCCTGTTACCATATGCTTTCGCCCAGACCACGATCTGGAGACTGGCTGCTGCATGACACCCAGCCTCTTCTCATGTCTTATCCGGGGTTCCGGCATACCACACAGGGGTGACAGGCTTTCCACGGCAAGGCTTTCCGCCAGCCAGTACGCATCGGGCTCGGGTACAGGAGGACCTTTGATGCTAATCTTGTGACCGGAGAACCCACATGGCGGCGCTAACGGAACATCTTTCCTGGAAGAAGACCGGGGTGCCACCCTCCAGACCGCCCAAAGTGCGGATGGCTTAATTGGATCCGCGGTTCTGGGACCGTTCTCTCGGCGTTCGACAATGTTGGTGTCAAAAATTTGCGCAGCATCCTAGATCACAGGCTTTGGAGCTTCGAAACCTCGACATTGACGATCGTAGCGGCAGGCGGGCTTCGTCTCTTCCGCTTGGAAGAGGCCAGCATCTGACCAAGTTGGGCCTGGGGTGCAATCAAAGTAGAATAAGCGATATGCAAACTAACCTTTTGGTAACGTCAGGATGCCCCAAAGGTTTCCATTTTGGAACCCTCGCTCCATGATCCTTCATAGTCCTATTGCCTTTCTTCACCCAGGCAGCTAAAGAGGGCACTCGCCAACGACACACCCATCAGCCCGGGTACCTTGCCTTGAGGCGGGGGTGCGGCCGTGGTTCATGGAGGGGTTGCACGCATGACAAGAAGCATAGCGCCCTGATCTCGTTGTACTAGCGGCACTGCGTACCGTTGCTAAGACGTAAAGCCTTGGAGAAGTTAAGAGACCAAGACGTTGCCTAGAATGCAGTCCGGGGCTGCTCGTCTTGGCTATCCGGGGTGGCGTCGCGTCCCTTCCGTAAGGCCTGCGCGTCTCCTTGTCACAGAGCCGATCTTGTGTAAGGCTGGGTTCTCTCGATATGGATCTTACAGCTATTCATGAAAGGTTCGGGCTTGTCATGCCAATTTGGGCATCGCGTCCACACTACCAAGCTGATAGTTCGGAGATCTTCAGCTAGGAAGGTTTCGTTACGGCCCTATCTTGGACGTCGACAATGGCCATTCTTGCAATAACCTGAGCAGGTCCATGCCCTGACACAGGGTGTGTAGTTGCCTAGTATTGTCTGTGATTATATCTTCTTTAAATCAGGCCGAATCCTACATTCATCTAGCCCTCTTGGATTCATTCGCAAAAGACCAAGTAAACATTGAATAGTGTAGACCAAATGAGGACTATGACAAAGATAAGTAGTGTAGACATTTGATTGATGTCGTTTTGACTAACATCAAGAAGCTAGAGATCCCACTCGTGAAATCAACTACATCTGAGGGATAGCATTTGCGTCACTAGACACGTGAACGAGAAGTCTTCAAGTCTATCGTCTTACTCTATCTACCTCTAAACATCGTGTTTCAGTCGCTAGACTTGTCGACTTTCCTCCGGACTATCAGCAGTCTCAGATATGCCGCAAACACAACCGTGAGTGACATTGCCAGACCAGTGAATAGTTGGACACCGAGGTAGCTCCCAGTCGATCCCAAAATAGCACCAGCAATTGGCGGCCCAATGAGTGAACCAATTCCTTTCAACACAGCAACGAAGCCAAGTCTCGTTCCCAGGATTCCAAGATCATCAGTTATGCTCGCAAGAACGACCGGGGCTAGAGTGACGACACTAGCGCAGAAGAAGCCGTACAAAACCGCGAACGCCACGTTGCCTGCAGTGTTGTTCACGCTGATCCAGTAAAAGACAGTAATGGCGGTCATGGTACAAATTCCAATGTAGGTATTCAGCACACCAAATCTGTCAGCAACGAGGGAAGGCAAAATGCGTCCAGGGATACCGACTGCGTTGAGTATCGCAAGTAGATATTTGGCAAGAGCCGCTCCCTCCATGCCGTGTGATTGTGCGTAGCTTTGAATGTAGTAGAGAGGCTGGAAGAATGCGAGATTGCTGAAGAAAATAGCAACGCATTGAACCATGTATCGAGCATCTAGAAGGCCAGCGATTTCGGCGATTTCTTTCAGTGAGTTGTTCTTTGTTATTAGTGTCTTAGTGCCCTTTGTCCGAGGTCGTGCCACAACTACAGCGTAGCAAGACATAGCTAAAGTAACGAAGCCTATCACTCGGACAGTCCATGGAAAACCTACTCGAGGCTGCAAGCTTTCGAATATGAGAGGATAAATGGTAGCTCCCAGACTGCTTCCAACAGTTGCCACCCCCATTGCCAACGCCCTCCGGGCTGTGAAGTAGGCAGGGACCAAGGTGATGGCGACGATGTACAAACAGCTGGAGCCAATTCCGACACAGAATCCCTGCGCGAGTAGGAAATGATAGTACTGTGTGCTGATGCTGGTCATCATGAAGCCAAACACGACGAGGAACGTGCCCGTTAAAAGCATGGATCGAGCGTAGCCGAGATCATAGAGCGGGCCAAATATGACACCCCCAGCCATGAGGAAGAAGACTTGGACTGAGCCAATCCATGCAATGGCTGAAGATGAATCGTTTGCGAGCAATGTGGTTTCATAGTACGTCTGGAAAGCACCAAAGCCGTTGAGCAGACCTCTGCGTCGAGAGGCGTCAGTCGTGCGCAATTGAGGTAACAAAAAGGGACAAAGCGTCCCCTATATGAGGCGAAGACTTACAGACTGTTCCAGTAAAGTGCGAATGCCGACGAAACTTGGAGCCAGGCTATCATCCCTCCATCGGCAGCTGCCAATTGCTGGACCGCGTTTCTAGGTTCTGTTGACGAAGGCGCCGGAATCGGGCGCTCATCTTTAGATTCGTCGCCTTCCCGAGCACCGACCGGGAACGGCTCAACCACAGATGGCCGAGTATGCAATGATCCGTCCTTGCTCATTATTCCGGAGCATGATCTATCAAGATTATGGTGCAATTTTATCGTAGTTGTAGATCGAGGTTTACAAGTTCAACACTCTGATGCTGCAGCGCCGGAGTGGATTAGCGGCAAAAGCGGCAGCTGTGACCGGCATCGGAGAGCGGCTGTTGAACTCGGATAAAGACGTGCGAAGCCAAAGCCAGACCCCAGCCCACTTCTCGGATTCACGGCTGCTCACACTCTATTAGTGTTACGTGTATCTGATTAGATTTATTCCTGGGTAGGTTGACAAAGTCCATTATTTCAACCCCGTACATTGTTGGATATTTGTGTATTTCAATTACCACCGCCCTGCCGCCGCTCTGTTTTATTTGTTACACGAGTTGTCCATGGTAGTTTATAATGTTAGCAAGTCAAGTGCTGAACCACGTCGGTCATTGACGCACTTGCAAAAACGAGATCATGCGATAAGTAGTATTGGTAATTACGTACTTGAACAACTTAAAGTATACATAAATAAGCGTACAATAATCTCAGCGAATCTTCAAGCGCACGTAGCACTGCACAGGCTTCCGTGTAAGGGTTGTAATACTCCTATAACTCGACAAATCCTCTGAACACTTTTGGAACTCAAATGACCAGATCAAGACGGTGATCAAAAGCTTCATTTCCATGTATGCCAGCTTTCGTCCGAAGCAACCGCGAAGTCTAAGGCCGAAGGGCAAGGTTGGTCCAGCAGAAGCATTGTATTCATCACCACCCTTCTCATCTTGTACAAGCCAGCGGTCCGGCTTGAACTTACCCATCTCGTGGGAGTTCCAGGCCCTCGAGCCAAAGTCGGCAGCTGCCTTTCTCGAAGATGGGCTACGCAGGCGTTCGTCAATCTCATACCCCGGCTCAGTAAAGCTTGGGCCCTTGTTTGGGATGATGATGGTTGTACCCTTAGGGATGACATGCCCTAGGATGACAGTATCTTCTTTGCACTCTCGATCCTGACTGGTCGCTGTATGAGCAAGCCGAAGCATTTCCTCAATGACTGCGTCCAGGTACGGTATGTTTGCGTCGCAGACTTCAAAATGTGTAGGAAGACGATTCTCAGTAGTTGCTGCGATATGGAAGCTCTGGATGCTGTCGAAAAGTCTTCGTTGAATTGCTTGGTCATCCGCGATGAACTTGATGCCCCAGCAGAGGGTTGTGCTCGTCGTATCATGCCCAGCAACAACAAAGCCAGCAGACTAAGAAAGTATTAGGTCAGTGATTGATTAAGTGTGTTTACTTCTTGAGTTTGCCTCACCTCAGCTCTCATGGTTTCGATCCAGTCAGGAAGAAGGTGACCTTCCTTCTCCATGACACTGTTCAGCCTTCGCACCATGAGGTCAATCGCAGACTTAACGTGCTTGTCCTCATTGTCAACATCCCGGAGTTAATTTTTAAGCCTATCCGACGCCTGAAGGACTTGATCAACGAGAAAATCGTCCCGCACCGCTCTTCCCCGACGTACACTAGGTCTCAGTCCAATGATCGACCATGCAAGGTTCGGAAACCCGGTCATTGCTACGCCGCCAACGTTTTCTGCCGACTGCAGCGTTGCATCTAGGGCAGGATGGATAGACGCAACTGGAAAGTCCAATACGTCGCCGCGGAATGCCGGATTCTGCTTGGCCCTAACGTCGGCAGCTGACATCGACGCCATCAACTCAACTTGAGGGATGAGAGCCCTCATTGGAGCAGCATCGCCAAAGCCGAAGTCCAGAACAGCATCTAGAGCAGCATAGAAGATATCATGCTCTGCAGAAAAAGCGCTCTCTCCAGCAAGATGCGCTTTCCTCTTCCAGAGATCTCGAAGGCGCAAAGCACTTTTATAAATGTTGGGAGCCGCAACCCTGTGAAGAAATGCCGGCGTCATCAAGTCCTGAAGTAAACGGCGTTGAGCCTTCCATTGTGGTCCGGTCTTTAGCGTAATGTGGAAGGACTTCGCTTCGCCAGACAACACGTTGCTCATGAAGCTAGATCGGTCAAGCTCTTTTCGGCGTAGGAGAATGTCTTGACCCTCTTGGAAATCTGCGATGACTACAGTGGGTTTCTTGAGAGGACCCAGCCAGACTTGAAAGACGGGACTATTGTGGCGACGGGACTGAGCTGCTATCTAGCCGAGGAGATTACCGGGTGATTCTCTCCTGATCTCAGGGATATCACCGAAGAGGCTCTTCGCGGCGTGTTTATTGTATGGAATACCAGGGATGGGCTTCGGCAGGATGATTTGGTAGAGAACATAAAGAAGTGGCAGAATCGCGGTGAAGGGGATCAGGACGGCCATCCATGGTAGGGAAGTGGTGGTAATCAGAATGTCTGCCATGATTGCGATTGCCATTTCAAATCTTGCGGAAGATCGATAGTGACTGCCAAGTATATATGTGAAATGGCAGATGGACCATTGATGTCTTGCATCCTGGTGCAAAAGGGAACGTCATGCCGCAGATTCGTTTTGCTTCAACAAGAAGCACGGTTATGTCAGTCCTATTGATCGGATAGAAGCCAAACCGAAAGCCTTGAGTTGGGGAAAGCCAGAGCGGATGGCTCCAACGGAGCATGTAGTTGGGCCGAGAGAGATCGGGGCGGGAGCGGAGACTAAGTCCATCTCCGATGTCTCAGCACTTTTGTACTGCAATACTAGCAACCTATTGACTTGAGACCCAGAGCTAGTGAGTGTCCATATATTTACCATCAGGTCTTAGACGGGATCTCGATCTTCACTGCTTCGCAGCCGCACTACTTGATATGTAATTCACTTATGTTGGATGGCTGTCATAGCGATGCCCTCCTACAGAGTCTCCTGGCCTTTACAGCTAAATTATGATCAGCACAGAGAAGACACTGAGAGTGCCCATAGCTGAACTGGAACGGAGTCGGCTTATTCTGGTTCCGACTCCTGCGGCTGCTCGAATGATTACTTCAACCTAGCATTTGATGTCCTATCCCACCCGGGTATAAATGGGCTACAGTACAAGGCATGCACGGCTACAGCTGTTAAGAATAGATCGGCAGATTTTCCTCACAGACAGCGAGCCTCATCAGCGATCGTTCGTTGTTATGTCCTTGATAAATATTCAAGTATTGGATTAGTATCAAAACGTTTTTTCCAGGCAAAAGACGGGAAGCCGGCAAAAACTCTACAGTACACAAGTCCCATCAAATAGCACTCGCAATGATCTTAGCAGCCGCCACCTCGGCAATGCCGTACGCAGCCGTCTGAATGTGGCCAGATACAATGATGGGCACAATACTGTTATCGACTACTCGCAGGTTCTGCGTACCATAAACCCGCAGATCAGCATCGACGACACCACCCTCAGCCTTGGGGAGAAGAGAACAGGTTCCGACCGGGTGATAGAAGCTCGTTACCGTGTTGACAGCGAACTCACGGAATTGATCATCCGTCAGAACATCCGGGCCCGGCTCCGTCTCAACTTCCCAGACGGCCTTGAGTGGTCCCGCCTCGGCAATCTTGCGCGCAAACTTGGCGCCCTCGACGGCGGCCTTGATGTCGTGCTCGTTGCTCAAGAACTCAGGGTCGATGATGGGCTTGCCGGTAGGGTTCGCGGGATCAATGTGCACGTTGCCCCGGCTGAAGGCGTGCATGACGGTGCTGAAGATGGTAATGAACTTGCCGGAACCAGGGTATCCGGCCGCGCCGACGTAGTTTGCGTCAAAAATGAGTTCATAGTCCGGGACGGAGTCGTCCTTGAGGAACTCGAGCTTCTTCTTGTCAATGGGGTTGGAACTGTTGCCAAACTCCGCCTCTGCAAGAGCAATGATCTCGGCCTGAGCCGGTTGATCAATTTGCCCCCAATTAAGAAAGCCGTAAGCCGCGGTCGTGTAGTCGTAGAGAGACACCTCGCCATCGATCCACTTTTGCAGCTCAGCAGTGGCGTTGGCACCGCTAGAGTCAAAGATGAGCGCGTCGAAGGAGTCAAACTCATCCTTGAGACGATAAACGTTGGACGTGCGGATATGGTCTTGGTAGTTCTCACCGACGCCAGGCAAGTCAATAAGCGGCTCAACACCGGCGGCTTTGAGCACAGCTGTCTGACCAATACCAGACAGCTCGAGCAAACCAGGGCTCTGGATGGAACCAGCAGACAAGATGACCTCCTTGACAGCGTTGACAACCGTGCCATCGGCCAGTGTCACACCGGTGGCAGTGTAATCGTTGCCGTAAGTCTTGTTGAGATTGACCTTAACGACCTGGGCATTGGTCCTAACCTCGAGGTTCGACCCTGCAAGTGGAAGATAGCTGTTGGCGCTGTAGGACCGGGAGTAGTCGGTGTTGTCGATGTTGGTGCCCTGGAACATGATGCCAATGGGGTTGCCGTGCATGTTACCTTCCTCGTTCATGGGAAGGCCGAGCTCCGTTCCAGCCGGTTGCCATGTGTTGAGGACATCATACACCACACGGTTGTAGGTGTTACGGATGGGGCCGGAGCGACCACGAGGGTCTTTGTCGGAGCCAGTGAAGTTCTCCGACTTGGTCATGGCCTCGATCATGACATCCCACGACCAGCCTTCGCTACCCATTTCACCCCAGGCCTCGTACTCGGCCGCAGCGGCGCGGTCATAACAAAGGTAGTTCATGGCTGATGAGCCACCCAGAACCTTGCCGCGGTTGACGGGGATCTGGCGGCCACCAAGAGCGCTCTGGCCAACTGAAGTGAAGTTCCAGTCATACTCCGTCCCCAAGATTGAGCCTCTCAGACCGGGTACATTGATACGGAGCTCGTCCAGAGCAGATGGGCCAGCCTCAAGAAGCAAGATCTGAGCATCGGGAAGGCCAAGACTCAGGCGGGTCGCTAGGGCTGAACCAGCCGTACCACCGCCTACGATGATCTATCTCCTCTGTAAGCACATACAAGGACCTTCCCGGGAAATTCGACGCGGATTTTGACTTACGTAGTCGTAAGACTGAGCTGAAGTGCAGGAAATAGCACCGAGCAGCACCAGCGCTGGCCACGTCTTGAGTAAAGACATTCTGGGCAGCTTAATGATAACAAATGAAGATCTTTCACTTGGCTGAGTCCAACAAATATGATGCTTGGTGGTGCCATAGGGGCCGTTATTGGGCGGACAAGCGCCGTATTTTGTAACTGCGGCCTTCTTTTGACTCCCAAGCCTCGAATGGCTGTTTATCGGGGGACTTACCTCCTTCTGTGTAGTAAAATTCTAGTCGAGGTATCTCCTCCGCTTTTTTGCATTACGCAGAGATTATTCATGCATTGGCTCTGTGGAATAAAGCTCGCGGCCAATATCCTGGACGGTGAAGAACCCAACCCTGAACCAACATTCCGGAGTCTCCTGGAAATTTCGGATGTGACGTTGACCAACCAGAAAAGAGGACTCACCCATGACTTCTGCCACGCAACTGATGGCGCAGACTAGGACTACTCTGGCGTGTGCATACTATGTTAAGGTACCAACACAGACAGGGGGTTGTTGACCCTAGTCCACACCTGGTTCTTCAGTCAAGTGCCCCGCGATGTTGGCATCGCATACCGTATCCGGTATCTTAATCGTGCGTAATATAATGGGATGGTATGATTCTGTGATCACTGCAAGATAGCGTTGAGCCATGCAATCAAAAGGCCATGTTTTCGATGGTAGGCTGTGTCGTAGTTATGGTAGGAAAAGGATAGACAGCCGGAATGGTGTAAAGAACGCCTGGGCATATTTTCCTTCGACATAAAGTCGTCGATGACCGCTAAAATCACGCCTCGTCTGATTAGAAGTTTGGAAACATGGAGGTTATTTATGTTAACTTAGTGCTTCTCAACTCTAGTCCTATTCACGGGAATAACCTGCGAGTGGGCGGGTGCGGGTGGCCCCAAGAACGTTCCGCAGACACACTAAACTCATGCCAGAACAAGCATAGCGGCTCATCGGCGACTCTACAGCAACAGTTCGCGGTAAGCCGGCATGATGGTTCCCGATGGGCCCTTGCCAGTGGGACCAGCTTTGAGTGCGAAGACTGGGCGCCCACAAGGCGACGTTGAAGGCTCTCCCCGCATGCGATAGCGATGTACGCATGCACAAGCGGTTCGATTAAGATTGATACTAAGGTGTGGCTAGCGGACGCGGAGTTACCAATGTTCGATCCTGAAAGGCGGGTCCGGGGAAGCGTTCCCCCTCATATGATGTTACGTCCGACATAAGTACATGCCCGTTCACTTGATGTGCCTGATAATCGAATCTTAGCTTTGATGCAGATGAAATTTCGTCCCATGCTGTCATTTTGAGATCCGATGATGTCCTGCTATTCTGCAGACTGTTTGAAAGAAAAAAAGACAACATTTGATGCGTATTAGGCTGAGTTCATGGCACATAAAATGGTCAAGTCCCCTGTTCTACGAAGGCCGGTTTTCTAATGTCCCCATCTAGTAACTTGGCCCGGTTTCAAGGACCGGGGTCCTGGCCTGAATATTGCAGACATTTTACCTAATGATTGGTTCCAACAGCCAAGCCGGGACATGAACGCCATAGACAGAATTGGCTAGGTGCCATCGCTGCATGCGCGTTCTTCGTTTAGTGTATCTTTATCCTTGGAACGGGGGCTTCAGGACAACATCTTCCGCGGAACACTGCGAAAAGTCCTGGGAGGGGTTACGTTCCCCGGACAGTGCAACCATCGCTTCAGTTGACAGTGATCCAACCTGCTTGGCACTGAGCATGACACGTAAGGTAGCCCTTGTTCATGTTGATGCTGGTGTGGACACGAGTTGCTCGTGCCATTTCGTTCGTAACCAACGACTTCGGATTATATATCCCAAGTCAGAGTCTGCAAGCAAAGCGGAAAGCTCATATCAAATACCCGAAAGGGTAGATGAACCAATGTCTCGCGTAAAAGGGCTAGCGAAGCCAAAAAGCTACCACCGCCGATGTCTCGCGAGCTCCTACCAGATTAGAGCAGTCAATGTCTATGAGATCGAATTCCTGGGCTATCTAAGAGCATGATGGGTTTAAGATATTGACGAGATCGTCAATACGGTGTTGGTCGATGAAAGATGCTTCGGTACTACTCCCATCTCTCGTTCCAGAGCCGATCGTGCCTCGGAATGGCGACACAAGGGTCGAGATATCATCCCTATTCAGGGCTGTGCATGACTTTGGGATAACAAGACCAGTAAGATCAGGTCGCGGTGAAGGCAAAAAGTCGTGTTCGATGCAGGGGTACCTAGCGTGCTGTACTTGCCGGGTTTACCGTTTCTGCGGTGGCTAAATCCATTGAAGCTACCATAGACGGCATCACCTGCAACAGGGGAACCTTTCGTCAGCGTTTCTTGGTTTTTGTGTCTGTGGGCCACGCCCTGAAGGAACCAACTGTCACCCTACCAAGGAACATGGTGAGATGAACTTCCTCTAACGGACCCTGTATGTTCCCTTTCCAGTGATCTTTGCTATCTCGGCAACACAGACACTACCCCTGGATCCAGCGGACCAGTCCTTCTTGCTCCTCGATGCAGCGAAGAGTTCGTCACAGTCACACGCATTCCGCCTCCTGCAAAATGGCATCCAACCGAGCCGTTCAAGCTTGAGTATGCAGATACTGATTTGCTCCTATCTTCACGTGGAAAGACATAACATAACGTTGTTTCTCGGAGGTCGGCCTGCCTACTCCTCTGAGAGTCTTTGATCAAGACTCGAGCGGTGTCCTTAGTCTCCAGATTCCGCTACTTATTTCAACTCAAACCACCGACAGCTATGGCCGACAATGGAACCCATGATATCAGGACCGAGTCGAATGGCCCTCTTGTGAATGGTATTGCCATTGGCTTTGTTGTTGCTTCGGCCGCGGTCCTCTCACTTCGACTCTACACTCGCCTGGTTCTCCTCAAAACAGCCGGAAAGGATGATTGGACCATGTTGATCGCCATGGTGAGACGAACTGGAATCATCTTAACATGTCTTGGCGATACTAATGTTTAATCAAGCTGTTTGCTCTTGTGGTAGGAATTGGCACAGTCTTCGGTACGGTTTGTCACGATTTTCAGCTCCAAGCAGTGCCCTAAGGCATGATGTTAACGATTTTGAGCACCTTAGAAGTAAAATATGGCATGGGTAGACATGTTGAGAATGTCTCAGCAGAGGAGACTATGGAGCAGTTAAAGGTCTGCGCATCTCTTAGAGCCCATCGACACCAGTACAAATCGTACATCATTCGTCAAAAGGTCGCTGACTTAGGATTTTGCAGTATCTTCTCATCGTCATTCTCCATTACAACATGGGAATGAACGTCGTCAAAGTTTCATTCTTGCTCCAGTATCGACGTGTGTTTGTGTCGAAAGTAGTCCAAAAAGTCTGCTTCTGGGCAATGGTATACGTGGTGATCTGGGCGTGTATTCAGGCCACCCTTCTCGGGCTTTCTTGCCTTCCTATTGCTATTATCGTGCCTAGCACCGCCGGTTTCTGTCTCGACACGTTACCTATCTGGTACTTCTCATCTGCTATGAGTCTAGCAACCGATTTCATGATCTTCTGTATCCCTTTACCCTCCGTTCTTCGGCTTCAACTTCCCAAAAAGCAGAAGGCTATGTTATTTGGTATCTTCTGTCTTGGCTTCTTGTGAGTATCAGCCCTGCAAAGTTCTTTCCCCCTCCCTCTCTGTCTCATTGTCTTACACCGGTATTACCAACATTGTGGTTTCCTTCAGGGTTCGCAGGCTGACTTTTGGCTCTTGCTACAGCGTCTGCATCATCTCAGTCTATCGCATGTTTACCCTCCGCACAGCCGTCTACAGTAATGACCCGCCATGGGAAAATATCGGCGCCGCAATCTGGTCCACCATCGAGCTCAACACTTCCATCATATGCGCCTCTCTGCCGACCATTCGACCCCTTCTCTCTAAGTGGCTTCCGGGTGCGGGGCTATCGTCCGCCCACAACAAGACCAGTGCGTACAATCGATACGGCTCCTCCTCAGGGATGGGACGCGGAACCTTCAAGGAGCTCAAGAGTGGACAACGAGAAGTCAGCACTGAAGAGCTTGTCCTCAACGATATGAACGCCAATCAGTCAGGCAGCTTGCCTTCGGTCTACGCGCACGTCACAGCCGACCCAGAAATGGGCCACAGGGATCTAAGAAATAAGGGAAGTCATCAAAATCAGATCATGGTGACCACCGAGACGATGATCAAGGAGGGTCGGCAACCTGGCATTAGCAGAAAGGGCTAAAGTAAAGGGAGCCATTGAACTCAGAAGGAAGCCGGTATGCCTGCAGGTCTCTGAAAGAGTCGTGAGGCTCTAGATGGCCAGGGTGGACAGCGTATCTGTAATAGCTAGCAAGTAAATTGGTCCACTTTATATCATTATTTACCTCAATGCATTCAAAACAAGTACTAGGCAATCAACTCCACTAGTCTAAATAGAGGGCGTCTCTATCGAGTTACAGATGACCATCAGATTAAGGATCTTGATTGGAATTGTTCTCGACTAATGCGTATCCGCATGCATTGGTGCACCTGGACTGTCATACTAAGCCATGCAAGGAACCGGAAGCAGCTGTGGCACGCCATGATGCTTTGAGTGCTTAGTATCGCATTCTAAAACCGCTTCACGAATCGATGTACTCTGATTTAACCAAAATATTCGGCTCGGGGAACATCGAGTACTATCCGGTGGTCTGCCCCACATTATGCCGGGCAGCCCCCGGAGATGGTCCACTTGAGTGCGGCATGAACGTACGCTACCGCCTCCGAGCAGTGACCCGTACGGACTATTAGTATTGCCGAGTTCCGCTTTGTCCCTTAGCCGGGGCTCACCTCATTGGACGATGGCGGGTCGGTCCCCAGCCATGCATCCTTGTATGTCATCGCACACGCTGATTGGCTTGTAGCCAATGTCCCGCGCAGCCTTGGGAAATCTGGGGCCGAGCCGATCAGAGCTCCCACGCGCAGCCTTCACACCTTTCACCTTTTTCCTGATCCTTTCCTTCCACCACCCACCACAATCGGTTTTGCCTGATCTCCATATACACATAGCCGACGACATCACTATCGCGAACAGATCGCCGACCGACGCCATGTCACAACTTGGTTCGGTGGCCTTGGCCAATGGCTCAGCGACGCCGAAGAAAGTCGCCTACTTCTACGATTCCGACATTGGTAATTATGCCTATGTTACCGGTCACCCCATGAAGCCCCATCGCATACGCCTCGCGCACAGCTTGATCATGCACTACGATTTATTTAAGAACATGGAAATATATGTATGTCATGTTTTTCAAACTTCGCGACCTGATGGCTTTTAACACAATGATCTTAGCGCGCGAAACCTGCGACAAGGGGAGAGATGACCCAATTCCACACAGACGAGTACATCGACTTCCTCCAGAAGGTCACTCCCGACAACATGGACGCCTATCAGAAGGAACAGGGCAAATACAATGTCGGAGATGATTGTCCCGTTTTTGACGGCCTCTTTGAGTTCTGCGGCATCAGCGCTGGTGGTAGCATGGAGGGTGCTGCCCGTCTCAATCGTCAAAAGTGCGACATTGCAGTCAACTGGGCCGGTGGTCTTCACCACGCCAAAAAGAGCGAGGCCAGTGGTTTCTGCTATGTCAACGGTACTAGAACATCCCTTCCGTGACGTTATTGGATCGCCTGCTAATTGTTTCCAGACATCGTCCTCGGCATCCTCGAATTGCTGCGTTTCAAGAAGCGCGTCCTCTACATCGATATCGATGTCCACCATGGCGACGGTGTCGAAGAAGCATTCTACACAACCGACCGAGTCATGACCGTTTCCTTCCATAAATACGGCGAGTACTTCCCTGGTACTGGAGAGCTGCGCGACATTGGTATCGGCACCGGCAAGCACTATGCTGTCAACTTTCCTCTTCGCGATGGTATCGACGACACCTCATACAAGTCTATTTTCGAGCCAGTCATCGAGCACGTCATGAAATTTTATCAACCTGAAGCTGTTGTACTGCAGTGTGGCGGCGACAGTTTGTCCGGCGATCGCCTGGGTTGCTTCAACCTTAGCATGGAGGGCCACGCTAACTGCGTTGGATACGTCAAGAGCTTTGGCTTGCCAACCTTGGTTCTGGGTGGTGGTGGATACACCATGCGCAATGTCGCTCGTACATGGGCCTTTGAGACTGGTGTTCTTGTCGGCAAGCACCTTCCCAAGACGCTTCCTTACAACGAATACTACGAAGTAAGTTCCTTGCTGTTATCGCCACCAGCCAACAACAGTTAACTGACCCCATCCTAGTACTATGCTCCCGACTTTGAACTGAACGTCCGCCCGTCGAACATGGAGAACTCCAACAGCTTCGAATATCTGGAGAAGATCAAGGCCGCTGTCATCGACAACCTGAGACATACCCAGCCTGCTCCCTCCGTCCAGATGCAAGATGTGCCTCGCCAACCCTTTGGTGGCATGACAGACGAGGAAGAAGCGGAGTTAAACGATATGGACGAAGACGAACACGCCGACGACCGAATGACACAACGCCGATGGGACCAGCGCACGCGCAATGAAGCCGAGTTCGAGGACAGCGATGACGAAGATATGGATCAGGCAAACGGCATGACGCGCCCTCGGAATGCCAAGAAGCGCACCTTTGGTGACTACCGGCAGGCTGAAGGCGAGGTCGACAGTGGGGCGCCTTCGCCTGTGAATGGTGCCCCCGAGGGTGAAGAAGCCCCCAACGCCGAGCCGATTGTGGATGCCGATATTACTCTTGAGAACCCCGCCGAACCCGAAGATACATCCGACAAGTCAGTCCCAGAAAAGGAGGCCGCTCCCGAGGCCTCAAAAGAGGATGCCGTCGATGAGGATGGTGATGTCGGCATGGAAGATGGAGCGGATGTCGAGGAGGGCACAACCACGATCAAAAAGGAAGAAGTCGAGGCGGAACCCGTCCAGGTAGCCGAGAAGGAAGAAAAGGCGGAGAAGACTCCTTCACGCCAGCCTTCCGCCGACCCTGCGACTGAGCCGCCCGTCGCAGAAACGACAGAGACAGCCGAAGCCACCGACGCTGCCAAGGAACCTGCTAAGGAAACAGAGACGACGGCGGCGAGCCAGGAAGCAGAAGTCACCGAGGCCAACGAGTCCAAGCCCGAGGTCGCAGCCGAAGAACCAGCTGCTGAAGCCAAAGCAACTACCCCAGAAAAAGAAAAGGACACTACCGAGAAACCAGAGGCTAAGGCCGCTGAGCCTGAGGTAGACAAGATGGACGTTGACGAAAAGCCGGCTGAGGAGGAAGCCAAAAAGGAATAGTGGTACAAGATGCCCCTTGTTCCTTTTCTTTTCCGCGGTGGCAAAAGAAAAACAGAAATGTAGCACACCACCTATGATGCAACGTTGGGTTCAAGTCAGCACGCTCGCGGGAGGGGTGCGAGAGTATCGGGCGTTCAAGGATAGGTATTTGAGGGGCTTTCTTAGCATGGAACTCTGGGATTGTTGTTTGTGTGTGGTTTTCAGTGATACTCTCATACACTCCTTGCAAAGTTATTGTTCCGGCGGGAGGAGATCGCCGGCTGTATTATAGATAGCCAAGGCGCAGTAGTACCTTGCCAGTAGCGATTTTAGTTAAACTGCGTAATACGTGACAGGTCGTTCCTTTTTCGCTGAGTGATTCTACAATCTTGGAAATACGTCTTCTGGTTGAGATTGGTGTGAAATAGTGCTGGTGCGACATGCTGGTGTGCAGTCTCATTGGGTCTCCAGCTTCTCTCAAACCATAGACCACCCTGATTCTGCTGCACAATGTCACCCGCCCTTTCATGTCGATTCGATTCACTACAGCATGACACGCGTGTGAAGCAACGGCTGGCTTTCCAATCGTGTTATGTCCACGATTGTGTTATCTAGCCTACAGATCAATATACCTTCTCCTCAGGAGCTATCTCAGGTTCTCCAATGAGCCAATTACCGTCAATATCCCGTATCTACTGTTCGTTGTCCTTGGTCCCTAAACTTGTGTAGCACTGCCTTGGATCTATCCAAAAACGCCGCACCGGTGCTGATATGATATCATTGAGGACCCTTATAATCATCGAACAATCCAAACACTAAAGAAGTAATCCAAGGTCGCTCCTCATCACTGATCGCAGCTAGCTAGGCCTGTCAGAATCGCCTTTATCCCGAACCAAGCTGCTCCTCGACGCCACGGGAGACGCGCTAGGAAGCCGCGGCTGACCCGACGCGTCCCATACAACAGCGCCAAAGTACCCTCCATCCTCCGGGCTCGGCCCTCTGTAGGTATGTCGCCGCGGTGGGGGCTTCAGCGGCGTAGGCAGTTCTCCTTCAGGGGCGTCGACGGACAGGAACCGTACGCCTTCCTCGGTTTCGACCCTCGTGAGGGGTATCGTCGTCTCTCGCTGCGGCGAGTCTTCGTACGAGGGCGAATCTTGGTACGGCGTGACGTGCACGGCGGGAGGGGGCAGGATCCCGGGGACGTCACTGAGATCTATACGCGGATGCGGAGCTCGACCACCACCGCCGGCTTCAAAGTTGTGATAGATCTCCCTGTGATCGCTGGTCGGGTGGTCACACGAATCGCCTCGTGATCGCTCTGGTTTGCTCGTTACCCCGCCGTCGCCGTCGGACTGCGTGTAGAGCTCTGTGTCGGCGCTCTCTTCGATGTTGGGTCGGAGGTAAGAGGGTGGTCGCACCCTAGGGCTCTGCCCGCCGAGTAGAGGGCGGAGGGTCGGGACGCAGACGCAGATTATGGCACAGCTTAGCTCTGTTATTGACCAGACTCCGGCGATGACGGTGTTGTATGTTGCGTCGGTGGAGGTTGATGAGCTCTTTAGCGTTGTGAGGCGGATGACTGAGATTGCGCAAGTGCTGCCAGATATATCAGCGGAGACCCTGAAAAAGCACACGGCGACTGGTAGGGAACACTTACAAGAAGCCGAGTCCAAACGTCGCCATTAGCACTACCTTTTGCCTCATTGGTAGGCGGATTGTCCGCAGCAGCGGCAGAGGCATGAGGAAGATGACGATGTCGGTGAAGAGGTTTATCGACGACCCGATGATCCACCAGTCAAGAAGTCTTATGCATCGGCCGGGTACCGTGTGGTCCCAGAGGCTCCTAAGTGGGATACAGGCCAGGCAGATTGAAATCACCTGCGATATCCCAAAGGCGATAATAAAGATTAAGAAGATATTACATAACTTTTGAAAGGCCGGTAATGGAAAGACGCGCCGGTACTGAAGAAGAAATGTTGATTTGATCAATGGATAGGCCTGTTTAGGTACGGATAGTCAGCTTCTGCCACCATCGTAGGATTAGTCTAATGAGACGCACGACTTGGTAGATGGCGACAGCCGTGATTGCAATCTGGATGTCGTGTGAGTTTCTGCTTTCTTCTCACTGCTTTCAACTGTGTTGGAAGTACCTCTTGAGATTTGAGAAACTTGTCCCTGGGTAACGTAGCTTGGTGCAATCCATCTCCAAAGTGAGTATCTGTGACGCCCAGCACATCAGCAAGAGACCTTTCACCTCATACCTTATAAAGGCATCCTACTTATGAGCATGAGAAGTCCAACAATGAAGACCAGAACCTTGATTTCGAGTAGTCAGCGATCAGTAGTTGACTTTGAGGCCATCTAGGGTCTGCAAACGCACAGAAGATGCCACCAACGCTGAATCATCCCAGCCCCATTTTCTCAGCAGGAAAGCGCGAACGTAGACTCTGAGAGCCGTAACGAGAGTCGAGAAAAAGAGGGCTGTGACTGTCACGCCGATCACGAGAGGCTGTCGCGTTTCGGTCGGATCCGCCGGGGGAATATCTGGGGTCGCTGCCTGTACATCGTCTACAGCTATCGAGTCCATCATCCTGTATCTTACTCTTGCCCCTCTCCGAAAAGCAACTCGGCCGGGTGATGTTGTGACCGGGGGCTATACCGGTAGAGATGTCGTTGGCCGGTGATCGAATGTTGCTACGTGCTCCCTGTGAAGTGCGACATTGAAAACCGCGAGAAAGGAATATTAGATCATGGTCTACTGATGCTAGGAGTTGCTGCTTGAGATTCCAACGCACTATCAACGTTGTGGTATGGTGGTGTAGTGCAGTAAACTGTAGGTAGAAATGGCACAACGGCGAAGAAGCAAGGGAACGTCTAGTGTTGATAGTCCCGGGAACAGGGCACATCGTTCCCAATCATACGTCGCAAGAGGAGCGTCCATGATTGAGTTGGAGCTAGGAGCTGAGTTGTCGCGTGTGCCAGGATCACGGAGTGACGAGCACACCTGAGAGGGGCGTCTTCTTTGAGTTCGCCATGACTCGTTCTCTATCCCGCGTCTTTTGTAATTTCTAAAGCGTAAATCTCGTGATGCTGCGCTACGTCGCCGAAGCACAATGACGTCGTGGAGTCCTCTGATCGTAGGACCATAGAGTGTCTTCAACAGTAAGCGGAGAAGAAGATCACAAGATGTGTCTTTCTCCAAGAATCGGGTTGGCAATTTGAAGGTGACATCGCTGCGTTGTGCTTACAGCGATATTTTCTTGGCTCGGCGATGGGGATCACCATCCTTTCCCACCTGTCCCGTTTGTTCTTCTCTGCAGGTTCGGCGCAGGAGATCCGACCACCGCGGCTCGATGCTCGGGACCGTCGCGCCTATCATTTTGCCTCAAGTGACAGCACACTTTTCCAGACGTTTCGTTCCCTGCAGCCCTCGAGGCTTTGAGCTTCTCCGACCATGTCGATCTAGACAGTCTTTCCGAATACGTCTAGCCTCGTCTGTTGTTTTCTTCGGACGGACTGGCTGTTTGTTTGAAATCACGGAACTCAAAATCGGCGTGGATGGGTTGCTCGGTTTCCGGGCATTCTCGTCCCTCAAGACAATCTGGGATTCAATAACGTTGTCGCGCTGTGTGGTGGAAAGATGGTGAACTGGAGGCTAACATGGATATCCTCCGTAAGCCGGGCATTGAATCATAACATTCGCTGAGCTGCTGCTACTCGATTGAGTCAGGAGCCCTCAAAGTCGGCGCCGGGATGTTGGCATATTGCAAATGTCGTATTCACCTCAACGCCGAGAAAATGGAATGATGTGACTGTAATTGATGAGGATCTCTAAGTACCTTAGAGGCGACAAATATCAACCCTTGACTTGACGCGGAGTAGCAACAGGGTGCTTAGTTGAGTGGATGCTACGGGGCGTAACCATCTTTGCCGGGGGGCTCAGTGACGTCGATTTGTCATTTGCGCGAGGACCAGGCCAAAGATTCCCATTGCTCAAGAATAGTATCGATGAGTTCCGAGCATTATGCCGATCGTTTCCAGTGCGATCCTTGCCCAATACGAAGTCTTAAGCAAGAGAAGCCGGCCAGGAGAACGGAACTGTGAAGGGTAGATGATGAATTCATCCTCAGCGCCTGAACGCAGTGGAGGGGACGACCAGAAATGTGGCTGGGGAGCTCCGGTAAACCAGTCTAGCCGAATGCGGCACTACCTGTGGCTTGACCTCTCACACCTCAACATCTCAAACTGTCGTCCGACAACGAACTTTCACACTTCAAATCTAGAAAGGAAAACTCGGGCTGCTATTCACCAATACCAACTCGGATTTTTCATTTGGTTCAATAAGAGACAGAATTAGATTAAGCTGGATAGCCCTATCTTTTGCGGTGAGCTCCTTCCTGTACTGATACTGCCCCGAAAATGTTGAGCACGTGACTGTTTGTCAGCCAGGCACGGGCAGTACGTACCGGACCAGGCTAGCTCCGCCGCCGGGACCATTTTCGCCAGGCTGCTCAGAGCTGTCGTCAACACCACTCAACTCCGCGACCCAGCTGCTTCCATCCGCCTCCATCACCACAACCTACGCCCCTCCAAACCGCCACGACCATCTCTCTCCGCGACAGCATTTCGACGACGCCAGCTCGACACTTCACTTCTACATCTTCATTAACGTCCATATCAACACAATGGAGCGCTTTAGGAACATGCTCCAGTCCCAGGGCCTCGGTGGCCTGGGCAGCCAACCCGGAACGGTAAGAGCATCCCACCTTGTCGAGCTGCCTTGACAGCTCCGATTGTCCACGTCCTCGCACCGTTATACTTACGCAGTACTTCAGGACAACACACAGCTTATCGACAACTCCGAGACCGTCTACATCTCCTCCCTTGCCCTCCTCAAGATGCTGCGACACGGCCGTGCTGGTGTTCCCATGGAAGTCATGGGTCTGATGCTGGGAGAGTTCGTCGACGACTTCACGGTACGCGTGGTAGATGTTTTCGCCATGCCCCAAAGTGGTACCGGCGTTAGTGTAGAGGCCGTCGACCCTGTTTTCCAGATGAAGATGATGGACATGTTGAGACAAACCGGAAGGTGAGTTCGGACCCCGCCATCCCTACCCTGGCCATATTGAGGTCGCAGACACTGACAAACATATTGCAAATAGACCCGAGGCCGTCGTTGGATGGTACCACTCCCATCCCGGTTTTGGATGCTGGCTTTCATCTGTCGATATCAACACCCAGCAGTCCTTCGAGCAGCTTACCCCGCGCGCTGTCGCCGTCGTCGTCGACCCCATTCAGTCCGTCAAGGGCAAGGTTGTCATTGACGCCTTCCGCCTGATCAACCCTCAGTCCCTTATGCTTGGTCAAGAGCCCCGGCAAAGCACGAGTAACTTGGGCCATCTCAACAAACCATCAATCCAGGCCCTCATCCACGGTCTGAACAGACACTACTACTCCATCGGCATCAACTATCGAAAGACGGCGCTCGAGGAGAACATGCTCATGAACCTGCACAAGCACGTTTGGACCGAGGCGTTGGAGATGAACGACTTCAGGCACGAGGGCGACTGCAATAAGGAGCGCTTGGAGCGCCTTGTCAGCCTTGCGGAAGGCTACGAGAAGCGCGTCAAGGAAGAAACCGAATTGACAAAGGATCAGCTCAAGACCCGCTATGTTGGCAAGCTCGACCCCAAGAAGCATTTGGAGGACGTTGGTCAGCAGTTGATTGAAGACAACATCGTGTCCGTCTCGAGACAGATGATCGACAAGGAAGCGACGATGCCCAAGAAGGACGGACCGGCGGGCGGCAAGGATCAATCAAACGGTGACTCGATGGACGTGGAAGAGGAGTTGTGAGGGGGTTAAGGGCCATGATTCAGGGACGGTCTAAGGCGGGATACAAGGACTTTGCCAGCACTGTACGATTAGGCGTTTAGGTGGACGGGGAACGCAACATCTAGAGGAACCGCCAGGCATAAGACGACTATGAACTCAACGTTTTGGCCCGTGACATGAATGAACTTTTGAACGTACGACTTTCCCCGAGGCGACTCCTCCAAAAGCCTGCGCCAGGCGCCATTGGAAATATGTCTGTTCTAGTTACACCACGCAATGGGAGAATGGCGCCTTTGTTGCTTCTTAATTTATGAGGCTTAGAGCACCCCGGCGTGCTCAAAGGCGAAGTGCATGCGAAGTTGCATTGTTTCTTACAGTCCCAGAACATCCGAGAAACACAGATCCAAGTCTCAATCCCATTGTCGCCTTTTAAACAACAACTTGTTCGCAGCGTTTTGGCACTTCGAGGCCATTCCCGTACTTCTACATAAGAGCTTGGATGCATCTCTTCCTAATCTCCAGCTAGAGGCAAACCAAGAGGACGCATTATCAAATTTACTCGCTTCCTACTTCCCTGACAACACCACTTATCCTCACAACATCATTTACTCGCTTCCCCGTATTGTGGCTTCACGGCATGAAGTCTCACCCAACTGACAAGATTTCTCGTTTGAGGTCAGCTTTCCGATTCCCCGTGTCGACCCGGATCCACTTCTCGAGAAACCGCACACAGCGGACAGCTTCTATAACAGGTCTTTTCGATTTTCCTCTTGAAAGTCCACCAGGTTTTACAGATAAGGCATTCTGTCAGCGTCAAAGTCGTCTCCCCGTCCTCGAAGCTTTAAAACGTTTATCAAGCCGCTATCGTGGTCCCGCCAGGAACATGGCCTCGTCTCCCCCACAAACGTCTGAACAAAGTGAGAGTCAATCTTTGCAATCTAACACACCAAGTATACCGCATGACTGTAGAGCCGACGCAGCTCCAGAGTCTCCAGCAGAGTCGTACCTACAAAACCCCAGCCCCTCCCTTCCAAGACCCGACATAAGCCTTGCATCAACCTATCAAGTCCTCCACCGCCTCGGAAGCACCTTCTCACACGTACAGTATGCTGTTTGTGGCGATGCTGCTCTAATAGCATACGGCCACGACTTCCGCTCTGCGTCCCACGTTACAATCATCTGCCCAGCCTACGCCCAAGAGGTCATGAAGGCGTGGGCGGCTGCTACCAGCGGTATGCTCAACTACCCGGGCGAACCGGACACTCTCGGCGTCTCTGACGAAGACGGGCGGGTGTGGCCAGTGAAGATGAGGACTATGGCGTTTGAACGCAACTTTGAGACGCTGCCGACTGTGAGTCTCTGTTTTGGGGATGACTCCTCTCCCACCACAATCTTGACGATGCCGGCTCTTGTTAACGAGATTGCGCTTTCGTATGTTGTTGACAGGCATATAGAGGAAGAGGGGTTTCTGGATGAGCTTGCAGTAGACCTGGTTTGGCTCTTGCAGAGCATCATCGAAGACGGCAGTCCAGAGCAAACGCTCAATGCGCAGGACGCACCCGCTATCAGCAATCCTATATTCTGGTATGATTTTACAGACGCGTATCCCGAACTAGCTGGACTATTTTACGATGCTGGATATCGACCTGAGGGGTCTCTGGCAGATGTTGGCCAGGTGAGTGATGTGATACCGGCTGAGCTACAGTCTCTACCCCTGCGAGAGATTATCGCGAGAGGTAGAAGTCGCCCTGGCGGCAGGTCCAATGCCAAGCTGCGGCGCCAAGTGCTGAAGGGACCGAATTTGACTAGGGCGGAGCTCAGGAAGGTGATTCGGGATCATCCGTCGTCCAGGCGCAGGTCGTCGGGTCGTGGAGACTCGGATGACACATCATGGACTCCTCGTTCCTACAGTCGTAAGCCTTTGAAGAGACGGCAGAGCCGAGAGGCTCCCTCGTCAGTGGTTCCTTTTGGAGACAAGATTTCAAACTTTTTGTTTGGACGTCCGGGCGGCTCTAGAACCAAAAGTTGGAAGAAGTGACAGCGATTGCTGCAATGAAAATAATCATTTTGGAATCGGGGTGCCATCTCTTTCTCTTTCTCACGTTCTCCAACGCTCGTTTACCGTGTAACGATTTACCCATTCCTTTGGCATGTTATTCCAGGCAGTGGTGTTACCCATGAGTAGAATACTATCGTCGCTGTTGTTTGCAAGTCAAGTCACCGTATGTGGTCATCAGATCATGCTTTCATACTTGAATCAATTCTTTCGCCATCATGCTTTTGCAGAGGCAGTCTCTATGCCCCAAGGGCTTTTACAAAGAAGAAGCCCAGATGTTCTGGTCTAAAGTCCCATGGTTCCCTTCTAACTTGATCGCCATTATCCCTTGGCTGTGTAGACCAACCTGGTCCCCTTTTATCATACTCGCTTGTAAAAAACAAAAAGAAAAAAACAAATGAAAGTTGTAACCCCATACTAGTTCGCCCCGCTGGATATGCTGAATCGCTCAGAAAGTCCTCTTCAATTCAAAAGTCCACCTCTCCACCACCTCATTGCCTCTGCTGGTACTGGTACTGGTTGTGGTACTGGTTGTGATATTGCTGGCTCTGCTGGTATTGTTGAGGCTGCTGCTGGTATTGTTGCTGGTACTGCTGCTGGTACTGCTGAGCATAGTGCTGGCCGTAAGGAGGCGCGTCGTACTGGTTGCTCTGCTGGCTGTTGTTGAAGTGCACGGGGGCGACGGCGGGACGAGGAGCAGGGGAGGCAGTCTGGGGCTTGTTCTGCTGTTGAATCTCGATGCGCTCGGCGGACTGGCCGGCCTCGCTGTCGCTACTGCTGCCGAGGGCGGTCTGCTTCATGGATCCGCGGCGGACGCCGTTGGCCTTGAAGTAGCGGAAGTCGAGCCATGCGATGATGGTGGCGTAGCCGGCGACGATGCTGAGGAGGATGCCCATGACGACGACGATCCAGCCGATGGTGCAGCTAACGCCCACGCAGGATTGTTGTGTGTTGCCTTGGATGCCCATGTAGGCGACCGCGGCCCAGAAGACGACTTCCATACCGTTGAGGATGAGGTTGGCTTTCAGGCTGGCCCATCGCTTGAAGGAGGAGACGTGCTCGGTGAGGACTTGGTATGCGATGATGATGAGAGACTTTGCGGCCTGGGGAAAGTTTGTGTTAGTTGAATGCTTGGTTTGTGGGGTAAAAGAAGCTTAAGACTTACCATGCCGAGAGCCATCGTGCCGGATCTACCCCTGGGGCGGTTGGGGAGGAAGATGCGTGCCACTGAGAGACTAAGAGCCGCGATGACCAGCGCAAGCTGGATCATGTGGATGGGGAACTTGAGCTTGGAGTCGAAGAGGCCCATTGTGAATGTTTTGGAATAAGACTGGAGTCGGTGTTGGTTTGGATGGTCTTGATGAGAAATACTGGAAGTCAAGATCGAGAGACTGTTTGTGTGGTGGTGATGATGATGATTGTGTTGATTGTATTGTATTGCATTGGAAGGAAGACGGCAACAACATCCGGATAACAGTCAATCTATATACAAACATCTCGCATTCTGTAGAATCTCGCATTTACACGTATTGACCGTATTCTGAAAGAAATTTTGATACTCATTCCCATAGTGTCGGGCCTACGTCTACACAGCCGCACGCTGCGCATTGTGTGAGAATGCCTTCGGTCTCGGTTCATGGGTGCGGACACTTTTTTTTCTGTCTTTGCTGTGCAGTCAGACACCGCAGATTACACGTATTTACTTACTACTTACTATACCTTACTATTGTTGCTGGGGAACTTGGATTGGGGGAAAAGATAAAAGTAGCACAGCCCCGGCCCCCCAGGCGAACGGCACTTCGGTCTCGGTTTCCCACTTCTTCTCTGACAAAGCCACGAAGAAAACTGGCACTAATTACTGCGTAGAGAATCGGAGCACCAACAACCTTATGGCCTAAGCATACGCGTATCCACCCAATAAAGTTATCCATGTCTCTGCTGCTTCGAGACCTTGGGCCTTCGCCTCTTTCTCCTCCCCTCCATGCTTCTGTCGTCTCCATAGAAGCCTCAAACCAGTGGGCTGGGCGGTTCGCGCCAAGGAGGCTTGACACTTGTCATCGCAACTCCCCGAAACCCCCATAAACAGGGCTCTTAGCGCCGCCGCCGCCGCCGCCGCCTCCCCCTTTCCATGCTTTGGAGTCTGGACGAGGTCCTGATTCCCGAGTGTGGAAAACGCTTACGGGGATTACGGGCCTACAGACTTCGAGACGCGCTTCGGGAATCTGCCCTTTGGCGCCATTGGAAAATGCGCCTTGCCATAATGTGGAGACGGGAAAGCGAGGTGCATGGGCGCTAGCGAAATGCTTATTGCGTTCTGAGGCTGGGAGGACTTCGGTTTCTCTAGTCTCGGCCACGTTTGTCTCGGGTTTGAGATTTCTTTCATCTTGATAATCAGGCTCTCTTGCTTTTTATACCTGATACAGTTTCGCAGCGTCGTAATGAGTCGTGTTGGATCTGCAAGGCGTTATGATTATCTAATTTTCGACAAGTATTCCCCATCGTCCTTTCACAACTGGCTCTTAGCTAATCGAGATGGAAGAACTCGCAAGGTAAGACATTTGTTGACATAGTCTCTCTGTTAGCCAACCTTTCTGCTAAAAGTACGCCTCATGGACACATCGGTGCGGGACAAAATCACCCAAACAATCATGACTGCGTACTTTGCAGCCACCGTCCAAACTCATGACGACGTCGGACTTTCTGTCGTTTCTTCTTAGCCTTCATCCATCGGGAAAATTACAATTACAGAATCTTGTGGCCCCTTTCCTACAAGTCGCGTTTACAGACAATGAAAATTGACGTTGGCAGTTGCTGGAGAGCCCGACTTCGACCCGGACGGAGCCTCGACGAACGACGTACGAAGCCCGAAGGCTCGCAACGGAACCATCGCGACGTGGAGTCTCGGAAATTCAAACATTATCGATTTAATATCTGGCGCCCTTCGACTGCCGCTGTGTTTTCACAA